TTGAGAAAAGGGTCTCTGCAGGAGAAGGAAATTAGATTTTTAGAAGGGCAAATACCAACTTCATGCCTCTTTCTGTATGCTAATGAATTTATTTTTACAAGGACTGTGATTCTGTGGGATTCCAGCACAGCTGGTGAATGTTTCTGGAACCCTGTGTACAGACTTGCAATCTCACCCGTCATTGGTAGCTCTCTTTTATTTGAAAGATGCAGAATGTGAATGTTTATGTGCACTGAGCATTGCAGCATGAAAACATATATTTAAATGCAAATTCTTATTACTTACTGATGAAAAATATTTTGAGGTTGCAAATGACATTTCAAAACCCTTTGTTTCAGTTTTTATACTTATGTTTTCTATTTGGTCTTGGATAAATTGTATATGCAGCCTGTTGAACACTGAATAGGAGCAATTGAAATGGAGCATTAGTTTGATCCTTTTTCTCCTTTTCATACCTTGATTCTTATCATGTCGGCTGGGGAAGAGCTCCTGTTTTTTAGGATTGCTACCAGGCCTGATTTATGAATCATCTGATAAAGAGCCAGCTCCACTCCCAGAAATGTGCCTTAGGTAAGATTGTGTGCTAGTGAGTCAGCTTCAGGGCAGCATTTTCAAAGGAACATGAAATAAATTACACAGTATGTGCGTGGGGGTGGCTTAGTGTTGTGAGAAATCTGCTCTGGAGCATCGCACATCCACACAAATCTGAGTCAACTGTCTCGAGTTAAATTGAGTCCTGGTTATACTTCTGTCGTATTAAGCGTTAAGTATGTGTTACACTTTTATAAGAAAATAAGGGGCATATTCTAAAAATGTGCAGTATATTTAGAAAGGAAATGGGAGGAAAACGGAGAGTCCAAAAGACTAGTTGAGAAGTGCAGAAAACATTGATACTTTCACGCTTGATGCAAATTAGTCTTTTCTGATAGAAAGATGTTTATCTGGACTGATTAGTTTTTAATTACATTACATACAGCTATGTCCAAGAATAAAATAGTATGTGTTATTAGTGGTAGAATATTACAGGTGAGTTTGAATTAGAAAAACTTGGAGAGAAAGGCATTGCAAGCAGATAAAAGGTATGATAAACATGAAGAACCACCTACGGAGGTTTTGGACAAAGGCTCGGAAATGTCTGGCATTATTAGCACTTCACATCATCAGACTTCTGTGGTTTTCTGTTGGAGTGAACTTTATTTTGGTGCTTGTCAGAGTTTTTCCTCCTTGTATGTGGAGGGCTGTTTTGAGAATAGTAGTGTGGTATGTTCTGTTATTAGATAACCAGCTTCCAGGACAGCAGTGCAGGTGTTCTATCTGCAGACAAGGAGTAAAAGCAACTGCCTGGCTGTTATGTGACCAAGCAGCTGGGTGGATAGTTTTAGTATAAGCCGTTAGATTACAGGTTTATTCAGGAACAGTGCTTTGCATTCCTTTAGACAAATAAGATATTGGATCCGGAACAGTACAGTATATAAGTTTTATGTTATGTTTAATAAAGGGGCTTTGGTGTTTGATTCAATATACTGGAGTCCGTTCGTTCACGAGGTGCAACACTTCTACTCTGAAGGAGTGGATTTCCAAGGTATGGCCAGTTATTTAGTATAACAGGTTATGTTATCATTGCGTAGCCTGTGAAATCTGTGACTCAGAGCTCTTGCAGTTTTTGTCTCTCCCTCTACACTTTTAAAAGAAGACAAATGTTTTATGTAATTTTATTGGCATAAGTTCTTGGTACTCTTCTTTTTCTGATTTTTTTTTCTCCCATTTGAGTGCAGTTATACCTGTTAAATGTGAGATGATAAAATCCACTAGTGATAGAAATAACTGTTTATATAGGTATAAGCCACTATGCTCTTTAACATGCTATATAATGCTCTTTAAATTACATACATACTTAAATTAGATTAGAATATCAGCTTTTATGATACAAGATACGAAGTAGAATATCCTTCTACATTATATAGAGAATATATATAATATACAGAGGGTGGTTGTTCACTGATTTTTTTTCTTCCTTTTTTCTGATTCATAGTGCTAAAATCTTATTAAAACACAAGTTGGAAGTAATTGGAATATTTGTGATATCCGTATTATACATTATCTCACATGTTATCGAACTGATTCACTATAAGGAATGCTGAGCTTAAATGAAGTATAAGGTAGTCCTTTTTCTCACCAGCTGCAGACATTCTTAAGTATTAGCAGTTTTCCACAGCAGTTTGCTCTTAAGAATAACTTTAATTTATGATACACTCATTTCCTGTTATTCAAATCCATCAGACCACTTCTTTCCCCTGTTTATGACCAGATAACTTTGTTGTGCCAGTTCTAGAAGTTGTTTTAATGGAAAAAATAATGAAGCAAAACATTCCAATTACTTCCAACTTGTGTTTTTAACTTAAAAATTTGAGTTTTAAAGTGTATCAGGCCTTATTTGTTCATTGTGGTGAAAATCCCTTTCCTTTTGAAATGCCAGGATTCACAGTTAGAAAGAAGATTTAAGGAGCAGGATATGTAGCCAGAAACTCGTGAATGGTGCTCGTGCCCTATTTGACCCTGCTCTTCAGGGAGCTGAGTCCAGCCCAGAAGGGCTGAGCGGGTTGTGGTGCATGGGAGGGAACCTGACTTGAGCCTGGCTCAGCTGCAGCTCCTGATGCTACCTATAGGATCCTTCTGGACTGATTCGAAAACGTGCAGTCCTCGTCATGTGTGAATTAATGTTTTATGCCTTTAGAAATGAGTCTGTGATTTCAGTCTTTGGAAATATCTAATTTTACTTTTTTATAGGAAATAACTCTTCTGCGTATTGTTATTTTCTATGTGTGGTTAGAAAATAAAATCATTCTTAACCAGAAGAATCTAGTACTGCAGTTTTTATAGAAATGCTTTTTTTTTTTTTTTTTTAAACTCTTCAGCGCAATGTCTGTGCATCAGGAAAACGAGAGTGACATTTTTGAGCAGTGTCTAATTAAGTACCCGCTGATCACAGGGCATCTTCCCATGCTGGGTTGTTCTCAGTTGAGTAAAAACCTGCTCATTCTCCTAAGCTTACCCAGAAATTACCTTTTCTAACACTATTACCAGATAAATGAATGGCAAGGAAGAGGGTGAGAGCCTTTCAGTGCAGTCTCTTTTCCTTTCTCCGGTTAATACATTTCTCAAGCAGAATGAAGGAATACATTCCTTTTCCTTGAGACCTGGCTCTCCTTGCCATAGATGCTTTTTTCCCAAGACTATGCACATTTTTCCCTACCGCAAAATCTTTTTGAGTCATGACAGACGTTTTTCTCCAAAGTAAATAAAAATGTTCCTTTTTATATACTTGCTAATAGTAGATATTTTTTATGTGCAACAGATGGGGGGAAAAGAAGCAGCATCTAGTGTCACAAAAAGCTTGCAGTAAATCAGGAAACTGAGGAAAGGGTTTTTCAGGATACAGGGAAGTGTCTGTGAACCATCCACGCTCTCTTAGGCTATTCAAGTATTAATTGTCCTTGTCTATAGAATTTAAAAAAAATAAATAAATAAAAATTTGCTGCATTTTAAATGCGTAGATTTTCTTTAAAGTGTCATAAAATCACTGTTTACTACACTTTTAAGCCCATAAACAATTAGTTCCATGTAGTTTGTCTGTAAGTGGATGTGGTAATTGAAACTTTTTTTTTCTTTAACTTTGTTCTGGGTTGAATTCCAAATTAAAATATTGGTGGAAGGCAGAGCATGAAAAATGAAGATTAAAGTGATGAATGCTGTATCTCTAAAAATGTTCCCTGAAGGTAGTTAGGTACATTTGGGGTTGTTAATATGCAAGTTATCAATCAGCTAGATAGCTTGTTCCTAATATTTGCACTGAAGCAATGCAATTTATTAAACTTTAACTTGAAGAAAAATGTAGGCTCCTGGTGTGGGTGGATACTCTTTCTTGCTGGCAACCCATCCTATTTGATGCTATTCTGACAGATTTTGAGAGAGGGAGCAGGTCAGTATGTAGAGTCTCATACAGCTAGTACCTGCATGAGAAGCTTTTAAAGAGCATGGAGTTATTTTTATATATACACATACATATTTGTATTTTTAACATTTGATTCACGTGATCATCCTCTGTGTTTAACCACTGTTGCAGCAGAGCTAATGTCTGCAAAGGTGCTGGATGCGGATGTAGGAAAGCCGGTGTTCCTGACAGTTTGATGTCATTCCATGGCTCAACTGGAAGAGCAATTCCGCTGGGGAGGCTGGTTGTAGTGGTGCTCTGTAATGTTCAACAGCTGCCCTATTTCACCTCAGAATGGCCGCATTTCTTCTGTGTCATATTGATCCTCTAAGTTTATGAATTGCCTTGAAAACCTTGCAAGCTGGAGGTCTCGTCCAACTGCAAGTACATTTCCCGTAGCTCTGGGAACTGAATTATATTCTGGTCTGTCTAGCTTAAGCCTGGGAACTTGTAGCCTGGCGTTTTTCAGGAGGACTAAAATTTTTCCTAAAATAAGTTTGAAGATCTGTCTAAATAAAAATTGAATGTATGTTTCTTACACTTTATAAAACGTAAATAAATCATAAGATTTCAGAAATATTTCACGGAATTCCAGAAGGGTTGAGGTTGGAAGGGACCTCTAGAGATCATCTAGTCCAACCCCCTGCTCAAGCAGGGACACCTAGAGCACATAATACTATCTTTATTTATCTGTTGTGATCACTTTATTGAGATGAACTGCAATTTATCTATCCCAGCACCATCCTTCATGGGTGCCTAGAACCAAGAAGAGTTTTGTGTTACAGGACAGGTTCCCTTGGAAGCAGTAAATGAAGAGAACCAAAATCATACTGAGCTGTGCTATCTGTAATGGAAAGCAGTGGTTTCATTTGATGGGTTAGGTAGTGCTGTGAGGAGCAGGCATGGTTTATTTGTGTCAATCATTCTTGCTGTTCTCTTCCTGTGCAGGTCGCTGTGCTGCTGAAATCCCCATCTAGCTCGCCCAGGTGTTGCGGGCGCCGCGCTCCATGCTCTGAGCCCCGCAGGAGCGTGGCCCTCTGAAATGAAGATGGAGGCAGCGGGAAAAGCAGAGCAACTCCTTGATTCAGAAGCCCCACCAAAGGCTTCTGAAAAGCAAGAGGCAGCTGCCGACGAAGACGGACCTATAGAACTGGAGCCACAAGCGCAGAAGGACGATGCGCCGGCTGCAGCGGACTCTGCAGTGCTCTCCTCCATGCCTTGCCTGCTGATGGAACTGAGGCGAGACTCCTCGGAGTCTCAGCTGGCGTCCACCGAAAGCGATAAGCCAGCGGGGGGCCGAGTTTATGAGAGTGACTCTTCCAATCACTGCATGCTTTCCCCTTCTTCCAGCGGGCACTTGGCCGACTCCGATACGTTGTCTTCCACAGAAGAGAATGAGCCCTGTCAAGCTGAAGCTGCTGCAGAGGGAGACCCTTCTGGGGCGCCCGGGGCTGCAGCTGGGAGGAAATCCAGGCGGTCCAGGTCCGAAAGCGAAACTTCAACGATGGCTGCCAAGAAAAACCGACAGTCTAGTGATAAGCAGAATGGCCGAGTTGCCAAGGTAAAAGGTCATCGAAGCCAAAAGCACAAAGAAAGAATCCGTCTGTTGAGGCAGAAACGGGAGGCCGCTGCTCGCAAGAAGTACAACCTGCTGCAGGACAGCAGTACCAGCGATAGCGACCTGACGTGTGACTCGAGCACGAGTTCATCAGATGATGATGAAGAGGTTTCAGGGAGCAGCAAGACAATCACTGCAGAGATACCAGGTAGAGGATGTTTTTTAAACTGAACTGTAGCGCATCTGACATCGTTTCTCAGCTGTCATGCTAAATTAGATGAGTGACACTTGAGAAAAACCAGAACTGCAGCTCTGTGTAAATTTGAAGACTGCAGTATATTAACAAGACATGGCAAATTTTAAAATCTGTTCAGAGGTCTCAGTGCACTTTTGCACACCAACAAAACATAGAAATGATAAATTGGTGGAAAAGACTACCTTTGAAGTTTGGAATTCTCAGAGTGTTTTCGGTGTGAGCCTATATGAACTCCTATCAGTGCTGTCAAATCCCATTAGCTGGTGATAATCTTATAAGTTTGTTCTTAAGATAAGTGCCCAGCTTTGTATAATATATTAAGACCACAGCTGTGCAGCTGTGTTTGGCATAACATGGCATTTCTCTTGCCTGTGTTACAGTAAGGCCCTGTTCACGACTGCACTCATGCTGTGCTTTCAACTCTGTTTCAGTGCATGGCAAACCCACTTAGCCTTATTGTAATTTACATCCTTGCAGGTTGCAGCTGGTCACCTATTTTAGGACATAAATATGATTTTTTTTTTTTTTACACAGGTGCCCAAGCTATTTCCAGTCCTAAATTTCAATATTTTAGACAAAGATATTACCATTTTCTCTGTCATAAGGATCTATAATTTCTCTCTTTCAATTTTTTTTTTTCTGGCATATCCATGTTAAAAGATGGGGGCAGCAAATTATAGGGGCCTTCTCATGATTTTATTAGCAAAAGAAGGGTGACTTCTTCAATTTCTTGTCTGCTCAGTCTTTGTTATTTAATTAGCCCAAATGCCATGGACAGGACTTTGTGTGACTTTCTCTTGAAGCGTATTATACCATAGCAGCATCATCATATGGTAATTTTCATATGGCAATCAAAAATAAAATCACATAAAAATAAACCTTTTGGCTTGCCAATTTTTACTGGGTGACATGCCTTTATCTCTTTTGTGCCAGAAGAGTTTTGGACATAAGTATCAGCTTTATAGGACAAGGAAATTTAAAGGAAAACTGCAATAATTAGCTTTAACTTACTGAACCTCTTTTTGCTAGCTGAACTAAAATACTAATTTACATCAGAGTTTACAAGCAGCTGTCACTGTTTTAACTGACTTCATAACAGTGAATTTATTTCTGGACATCACCATGAGAACTGACATTTTTCCCACATATTGCTAGAAAGCAGGTTTCACAAAGGAATTTAATGTTTATTATTGGACAGTCTGGGAAAGGCATATTGCTCCCATAATTGTTGTGTAGTAAAACTTCGATAGTGATTGTTGTTTTTACCAACTTTGCAGTTAAAGCCTAGCCTCTAACTTGCCTAGTTAAGTGCCTTGTTACTGGCTATTTTACACTTGATGGGCAATTAGGGCCTGAGTTAAAACTGGGTTGTTCTCCCAGTCCCTTCACCTTGAGAAATAATTGGGATTTTTTTTTTGCTTTGTTTTAATTTTATTCTAGAAGTCTGGAAGTGCTTTGTGACCCAGAAATGCATCACGTGGTATTTTTTCTGGCTTCCATTGTCTAAATAATTCTGAATTTAAGGTACTTTTCTGCATCCTTAGGCTCTTTGGTACTTGGAGCCCTAGGTGGTACTGTGGGAAGCTTGCAGTGAAAAGGTGCCATTGTAGCAGTTGGCAGAACCTGTTGGTTTAATCATTAATGCACCAAGGCCAACTTCTCTGTGGGATGCAAGAGGTGGGAGTGCAAAAACAATCCTGGGGAGCAGTGACCTGTATTTCTTTCCC